CGGTATTTTATTAATTAATTAGAAGTAATTATGACTAATAAATAAAGGCTGGTAAAACGTCAAGTAAATGCAATATTGATATTTGCCAGTAATAATTTATGACTTTATTTTTATCATTTTTTTAAAAAATTAATCTATCTATTTACTTAAATTTTAACCTTTTGTATTTTCCATTTTAAAACATCTTGTTTCATATTCTCAGTCTTCTCATGGTTCCACATTCGTAACTTCTCTTCTCGCCACAGCCAAAGGTAAATGACAGTCTTAACTTCTCTTCTCACATTAATCGATCAATTTTAATCTCTCTTGTCATCAACTTTTCTCATATTAATAGCTCCATTTGATCTGCTTCGGAATGCATGCATTTTGAAGATTTAATGTTCGCTTTCAGGTTAGGGTTTCTATAATCTATTTCTAGTTTTGGTTAGATCATTCACTTCATTTCTAGTTATGCTAGATCATTCACTTGAAGTAGCAATGGTACTGATTTTTCTAACTTTTCTAATTCTAATTCTTCAATATTTTTATTTCCCCGACATATTAGATGTCACGAAATTGGAAACCTTCATTTTTCTTTCTACCTTTATTCATTGTTGGTGGCAAAAAAGGAGTCTAGAAAATGTTAAACTATTTTTCATTAAACTGCATAGTTCCAATTACAGATAAATAAACATAATAAAAACATAAGAATCTATACTAATATATATAAAAAATACTTCTTATAGTAATTACTTTAATATTTATATTTAGTTAACCATTATATTCTTTTATTTTAATAAATTAAAAATAATAATATTTTCTTTATCAAAATCAAAATTTTAAAATTAATGAACATGATAACACTCTATCAATATTTTTATTTTATCTGTATTGGCGTCCGTACGTGAAATCGGTAAATAACTAGAACTTGTAAAAGGATTAAAAAAAATTTTAAAAATATCTTAACCAACAAGCAAATAGTAAACTATAAAAAAGAATACTAACCAGGCAAAAAGAGCAGAAGCGGAGAATTTTCCATACGCGAAGCGCACTCCAACGGCGAAAACCACCGCGGCGTTCCACCGTCCGCTTTGATAAACTCCTTTGATTGCTCCAAATATTCTTTCCAACCGTTCATACGTCGCTTCGCCTTCTCTTTCTCCATCGCACCGCTTCCGACGTCTTCGCGCATCACCGCCGCCGGAATCCGGTCCGCCTCCATGGCAAG